GCTTCCAATTTAGTCCTATCAGCCAGTGAAAATATCAAAGGCGGCTCTAATCTTTTGAGTTGCTGAAGGTGACCCTGGTATTAATCACACATTTTTCAAAGAGCAATAACATTGCAAACATAACGTGATTTGTAAATCATTGTATTCTGCTCAATGCCTAAACCTTTTTTGGAACCGGGTTTGCTTTCTTTTAAAAAAGTTATTTTATTATATTTATTTATTTACCTCACAAAGATGTCCCTGAGAGAAGCGACATGTTCATTATTAAAAGGTTTCAACTTTTCATAAACATTTACTAAACTGTCAGAAAGGTGATTTGGGCTGTATGAGCACTGACTGTTGTTTTGTGGAGATGAGGTCCAATGGAAGAGCGTAGCCTTGAGACTGCCACATCTTATTAAATCATAGAATAGGGTACAAGGCGTAGCTGGCGAGGCCACAAGCGTTTTGGCCATTCCGGACGATTCGCATATAGCCGCCTTCACCCCAGCCAGTTCCCCAACTATTGGGGAAAAAAATGCATTTTTAGGTGAAGAAAAGTGGAGGTTTTGGTCAGATGCTATCTTTTTCTTTCAACAATATTGAACAAACCTGTTCTTGATGATCCAGTAGTCTTGGCCTTCTTGTGAGCCATAACCGACCAGCAGCACTGCATGATTCAGATTATTGGGGTTGCAGTTGGGCTCATCATATATTCCTGCAAAGGAAACATGAACTTACTTAACTGACTTTTGGAAATTTGTGGGAAGCAAAAACAAACTGATAACACAACAGTGACATAGAATAACCCTTAACTCAGAGAGGGAAAAACTTAGTGACCAGTTGTTAGGGAACATTACTTGTGGTATTTCTTACTTTTTACATGGTGGCTTCTTATACATAAAATGCCCAAATTTTTAAAAAATGAGGTCATGTAAATGTAAGCTTTTTGCTTGGGGAAGTTTTTTTATTCTTGGATCTGTATGATGTGAAGAAGAGGATGTCCTCGGTATGGCACACAGCTTGGGTTGTGAAAACTGACGAGCAACCCACATGCTCTTCACATTTTATGTTTGTGAGGTGTAGGCAACTCAGAATAAAGTTAACCTAAAGGGAATATGGTTTTTACGGGGGAGGTGCTTAAATTGCACTTTTTAAAGGCAATTTATGAACCAGAGCACCAGTATAAGAGAAATGAGGCTCATCTTGAACCATTAATCATGCAGAGTCACTAAATTAGACTCCAAAAATAAAAAACACGAAGCTGAAAATTACCATAATAAGTCCTGTTTAGCATTTAGTTCAATCTCCAACAACTCCTAATGGGAATTTCTGGGTCTTTAGTTACTAAAAGCTTTGTTGTGTCCCCCAAGATAGTTGCTAACTTTGTTTGTCTGCTCACTGTTGCTGAGTATCCGATGGGATTATCAAAGCTTTTTTGCTGAAAAAAATAGCTGCCATACAATGAGAACAAAAACAACTAACAACAACAAAGTTGCACTTTGTCACTCTTTTCATATGTGGCTTAATGTGGCTTTGTTAATCTAAAAATTCTCATTATAGCAGCTCTGAGTTTAAAAAGTCCTCTTCTTATCAAAATCGACTTAACATAACATAACTGTTATTTTTAAGGCAGTTAACCTGAGCTGTAGAACAGGAAGCTTGCATGATCTGCATCAATAGCAACTGTTATTGGTCCAATAGTTGCCAGAGCATCAGCCATAGCTTGCTCATCTCCCCTGGGAATGAACCTGTAGTCCCTGATGTGAGCAACTGCAAGCCTGCTGTCGTAGAAACAGGGCTGAGTGTCCTGTTAAGAGAAATAAATGTTAACCGCAGCATGTCCGCAGAATTATTTACTTTTTTATGATGTAGGATAAGACAGCAGAGTCCTACCACTGAGGTGTATGGGTAGGTGTTTGAAGACTCCAGCCCGTTGCTGACCACATAGTCATAAGCATTGGCCATCCAGGCACCACTGCACCCATAGGTACCAAAGGATTTAGAACAATCCACTAAGTTTTGTTCGCTCAAGGATATCAGCTGACCTGTCTTTTTGTACAGCTGTGCCTCTATAGCTCCCGTAGTGCTGAAGGCCCAGCATGACCCACAAAAGCCCTGCAAAGAACATTTAAAACAAAGATCTGATTGTGATTCAGTCTGAATATACCCACTCATGTGATGGAGGGACAGTCTTACCTGATCTTTAACCTCAGTCACAAAACCCATGTTTCTGTAGTCAACAGCATAGCCATCTAAATGCCTTGCAATGTTACGCAGTCTTCGAGCTGAGACTTCTTTCCCTCTCTTTACAAACTGAGCATTCATCTTGGCACCTTGCAAAACCCGGTATTCTTGTTGTGTCTGCAAATGTAAAACAATTGTTTTCACAGTATTCGCAGTTTGTTACAGCAATTAATCAGACAATTCTTTTTTTTTAAGGTCTTTGTGGAAAATAGTATGTACATTTAGGAGCTGGTTAACTCCGGTTAAGTTCTTTGTTGAAACAAAACACTTCTACTCTACTACTAAATTCTACTAGAACAAAACAATACTCCTTACTAGGTCTCCATATCTATTCATAGCCATACTGAATGACTTCATCCCCATGAGAAACCTTCGGTTGTTTTCTTCAATCAACTGCTTATTCCCCTCCCAGATGACTCTCCTTTCCATGTCATCCTGATGGTTAACACAGGAAAAGCACACGAAAGAAAAACTCGAATAAATTAGAGAACATGTGGATTTTTCGTTAGAGAACATTTGCACTTATTGTTGTTGTGAGGATTTTAGATGTGGAGGCTGTCTCACTAATTCATCATAGCTTATGCCATATCTGCTTTTCCAGATCTGCCACTCAGTCGGGCCCTCCTCATCTGAGTCTGCCAGCACGTGCTGCAGGCCACTCAGCAGGATGGACAGCAGAGCAGCTTTCAGCAGAAAGCTGGCCTGCTGGACTAGAAGGACCAGAGCATTGCACAGTTGCATTGTGTATATTCAAAATTTATCATATTTCATCATATCATGTTGAAAGGATGGCCTCATTAACCCTCTGACTGCAACTGTATTATCAATCAAAAGAAAAATGGAAATCTAGTCAATATAAAAAGTGTTCTCTGAGCTTATGTTAGCTTAGGTTAGTTTCTTTAAAAATCAACAGTGAAAATAGACTTAAGGGATTTTATAAAACAAACCAACATATAAAAGAGACATTTAAGATTATATAAGATTAGTTGTTCTTTTGATATTAAACAAAAAGCTCTGGTCAGCTTACCTTCATGCATGTGAGTCTGTTTTGGTCCCATATTCTGAGAGCAACTCTGAACAGTGACACCGAAACAGACCTGCCTTATAAAGCTTGTCAGTAAGTACATGTTACTACTATACTTTAAGTTAAACCCTAAATCAACACTCATGACAGCAGCTGAGAAGGACATTAGTCAACAAAAATAAGATGCTTATCATGCTCCTCCTTGGCCATAGTGCTGTAATCATTTAGAGACAGCTAAAGCAGCAGTTGTGTAAATCCCTCAAATACTGGTTTATAATTGAGCACAACAACCGTCACATAACTGTGCAAAACAAACTGTGAAAGGGGAACTTTATCTAAATAAAAGTGCCAGTGAACTGATGTAAGAAAGCTGAGGGTAACATTTCTGCATTCAAGAGTGCATACAATAAACAGTAGTTAAAACGTAACCAAAAGCACAGAGCTTGCAGGCATACAGATCCGTTGTGTAAGCAGGATTTCACTGCCATATTCGGCTTCATTTTAAGTCATTCATACTCGGTATAATAGTTTATTTTAGCAAAGTTCTGCTACACAAATTTGTATTCTGTTTGGACATTTTGGATCTTTGTTCTGAGAAGATGAGGGATTTATCCTTTCTTTCTTAGAAATGTGAACTAAGGATAACCACAGCAGACTTTTGCTCTCTGAAATAATTTAGGACTAAAAC